GTGTGTGTGTGTGTGTGTGTGTGTGTGTGTGTGTGTGTGGGTGGGTGTGAGACAGAGGTGAGGTGAACAGGAACCAGATCCATCAGTGATTGGTGGGATGTGGAATGAGTTATTGATGATGACGATGAAGATGACTCAAGCAGTTTAGCTCTTGCTGTTCTTCCCGGTGGAGCTCTCCTTCTCCTTCGGTTTCTCCTCCTTCTCCTTCGGCTTCTCTTCCTCTTCCTCCTCCCCAGCCTCCTCTTCCTCCTCCTCTCCCTCCTCCTGCTCGTCTCCCTCCTCTCCTTCTCCCTCCTCAACCTCGCCCTCATCCTCCTCTCCCTCTTCCTCTTCTTCCTCCTTCTCCTCCTCCTCGTCTCCGGCCTCCTCTTCCTCCTCTTCGGGTTTGGGCTTTCTGTAAGCTCCGAGGGCGTAGGATCGGGCCGACGTGTAGGACAGGCCAGTGTACCCGGACTGGACCATGACGCCGCCAACAGAGCTGAGGCGACACTCCTCTCCTTCCAGCAGCTTCCTGCTCCAACACAAACACACGGCAAAGAATGATGACTCCTTCCAACTCTGACTTACTTTGTACAATCTCTCATGAGGATTTAAATGTCATGATTTTGGTAATTCAAGGTTTCTTGTTTAATCGCTTTATTTACTAAAGCTAAAAGATTAAAGGGGAATCAACTTGTTCTGTAAGACTACAGCTCTAAATACACACACACACACACACACACACACACACACACACACACACACACACACACACACACACACACACACACAAAAATAAAATAAAATAAACAGATGCTGGATGGAAGTGAAGCTTGCTGTTGGATGAATTTGGTCAAACATCACCTGAAACATGAACTCCAGTTTGAAGCGTTCCACTTTTTGTTTTTTTCAATCACAAAGGAAAACAATGTTTGAAACAAGATTCTACAGAACGTTGCAAGCAAGGTTCTCTGCAGCCACTAAAAGGGAGTTTCTTGGGTGTGGTGGGCAGGGGCAGTTCTAGGRGTGTGGCCACAGGGGCATTGGCCCCAGCTGAAATCTGATTGGCCCCCTGTCCTGTCATGACRTCCCAAGCAAGATTTGTTCATGTTTACCTTGAAGTCTGGTATTATAGGAGTCAACAATTTTTCTTTTTCTTTTCCTGACTCCCACTGAAGTGTGAGTGATGCTTTTGTTTTGAAAGTCATGAGTAGTGTTTGACGTCGTCGCTGGCTGTGTCCAAAACGAAAGGCCGGGTCCTCCGGAGGACCTAGACTACCCGGTCGAGGCAAGCCGGGTCCTTGGTAGACCAGGAAGACCGGAAAAAAAAGAGACTGTGAATTTGGACGGTCTAGCCTCCCCTCCTTAACCCGGTGTACGTCATGTCACCTAGCAACTGTGACAACGCTAAACAAGCAA